ATTCTTTTAGCCTTCTCATGAGCCATGTAAACAATATAAAAGCTGTATGAACACAGTCCAAAATCTTTTATAACATATATATATATATATATGTAATATATATATATATATCGGGTCAGGTTCATGGAAAACCGTAAAAAAGTAAAAACCGAGTAACATTCTGGTAACCATTCATACGTGTGTAATTTGTAAACAATTTGTCCGATATCTACACATGCATAATATGCACACGTATATGAAAACCAAGAAACAACTTCAATTACTTGTATGCGTATGTGCATACTCCTTAGTTTTTCATTTTTTTGGCTTTCCCACGAACCTCCCCCCTCTTACATATATATACAACTTATAAAACTGTTTATTTTCTTCACTGGATGCAATGGTTCTTGGCATATATATCGTGCAGGCAAAGCACTTAAGGCTCTTTATAAAATCCCCTGCACATAAAAGTTCAGTTAAGTCACAATCCATTGGATTGAAGTCACGAGTCACGACAAGTAAATATCCTCATTTTCTTAAATTGTGATATATAATATGAACTTTCTCCATGCACAGAAAAGGCAATTAGATAACTTTCCATTGGTTTTGCAGCGCATGATTAGAACATCCCTCGATTTCATTGGCAAACACAGTGTAGCCTTAAATCTTGATTAATTATTAATATGTCGGGCCGGCATTAATTGATTTATCTTAGTGCTATTTTATATCATTTTTGTTTTGTTGTAACATGTCACGGGTTTCTTTAATTTCTTGATGGCAGACCAAATTGAATTGTTTAATCAGGGTATACATGTCCTTTCTTAATTCAAATTTAAACTTTTGTGGGTGACTAATGAAAAGAAAAATCATTTGAGGACAAGGACAAGTGCTTATATAAATAACTGTTTTAGGATGCTACTTAATTGAGTTAATTACTTACATAACCTTTTATAACGTCCTTTTCTATATTAGTTTTAGGATTACGATTTTTGACATGCTATATCACTTTTCCATTTCACTTTCTAATCTGTCTTATATGCCAATTTCCTTGGTTTAGTTATGTGATTAAGTCCTCTAGTTTGATAGATTAGTGCATGTTGATTAAGCCCGATCGGCCTGTTTCTTAGTGCTTAATGAGCTTCTTGATGGATGGACACTCTCTTAACAGTAACAAGTTTGAACATATCCTTATTCAGCATAGTTGTAATTGACATAATGCCAAGTGTTGATTACCACTTGAAAGTAAAATCGTGGGAAATCATGTAATTAGCGTTCATTAATTTTGAACGAATAAACCAATTTAGTTTAAGGAGATGAGCGATTAATTAACTTAAAGGTCTATT